TTCCAGATCCACCGATCACACGCGCGAATAAAGAAAAGGAAATTAATTTTTTTTGTCTTTTTTGGTAATTAAATGAAATTGAAAACTAATTAATTATTTTAATTACAAGAAAATATTTTTTTGTTTTTTTTTAATATTTTTTTATGAAATAAAATAGAAATAAAAAGAAACAAAGTTAAAGATTAACCTAAATCTAAATCTATTTTAATTATTAAAATGTTTAAATGGCCTAATTAAAAGCTAGTTCAATTATGATTTATTTACAAAATAAAAATAATAATAAAAGTGTTAATTACATTTTTTTGGTTTTTTATGAAAATGGTTAATTAAATTAATTACTAATAATAAATAAAAATAGAAAAAAGCAAGAAATTAAATGGACAAAATAAAAATGAGAAAGAAAAAAAATAAAATAAAGAACCAAGTGGAGGGGGTGCTGGGCCAGGAATGGGGTGAAATGTTGAATCTGGGCCCATTAAGACCAAAGCCTCGTTGACCTTTCTGCTTATGTGTGCACCCATTGACTGAAGCCTATGGTAAGCCTCTTTTGTGGCCTTTGGATATGCTTTGAAGACACCTGGCCTGTTGGATCTGTGAGGCCTATGATGAACCTCCCTTGGAGCGCTGCACAGGAAAGTTAGATGAAAAATAATATGGGAATTGTGAGGGGACCTGGGAATTGAACCCAGGTCCCAATGCTTACCAGCGAATGCCTTGACCGAGTGAGCTATTTGTGCGCGTTTGTAGTGTAATAGATAACAAATATTATAAAACAAAAGCAAAGTCAATGCTATGAAATAAAAAAACGCGCTGGAATTCAAATCCCCCAGTCATGTCTCGCCATGCAGTCTTCTTCTTCATTTGTGTACCTGTAACATGAGCATATAGCGGGGGTTTTAAACCCCCCCAAAACACCACCTGCAAAAAATAGCGAACAACTCATGCTTGCACATAAATTGAGCGCGAGGTTATGGTTATGTTCGTTTGGATGTCACGATCCCAATGGTATACGTTTGGTTGGCCAATTTTACCATATGTGCAAACGCCTAATTTCAAGCTTCTGAAACCCTAATGTCCATCAATGGCAATTCTTGATATGGGATGCTATTGTTCAATTAAATAATACCAAGAGCTTCAGGATGTTAATAAGAGTATAAATCAATTCAAAAAAATGTCAAAAAACGCATGAGTGATTACATAGAATTCAAGAGAAAAATGCAAACCGCTTGGTGTCTATGGCACGATTTTTTAAGTGATTGTGCTTGGTTCTGATTGCCAAAGCCTCCTAGGAATGCCAGCAATGTGTTTGGATGGGAATTGGGACTTAAAACGTGCTGTAAGGAGGTTTACAGTTTTGCTTTTTTGCTTGAAAATTTTGAAGTGTGTTTTGCAGTTTTTCAGCTTTTTAGGTCGTCTATCCACTTGTGTTAGCTTGCCTATGCATTATGTAATGAGTTTCAATTAGAATTAAGGGCCTTGAAGCCTTGCATTCATGCTTAAGATTTTGCTATGAACTCCATTAAAACACCTTCCATTTTTGAGCCAAATTTTGAATTCTTGCTTCATTTAGCCCTTTGCACGAATTTGGAATGTGTTTGATGGTGATTCAAAGCAATTCAAAACCAAATATGTCCCTTAATTAACCTTTTTTATTTTTATTTGATTTTAAAGGATTTAAAATGAATTAAATCCAATAAAATTAAATAAAAATGGAAAAATTAACTTTAAATCTTGAAATAATTTGTGGGACACGTGGGAAGCATGGCCAAGCTGAATCAAGTGGAAAAAGTGGGCCCCTTTTGTCAAAAATGAAGTTTCAAGGATAATTGATTTTGGCCATTTCACAAAAATTTCCCAACTTCTCCAATGCATATCTTGCTCAATTTTGAAGTTATGAACATGTTCTTGGACATTTTGGAAAGGTCTTGAAGTCCTCTAACCAATGTCCTTGGTCCCATGTCATTTTGATTTACCAATCTCAAGTTATGGTCTTTGACTTAAAGTCCCTTTTTGTTGACTTTTGAAATGACCTATAATGTTGAAATTGATAACTTTTTGTGAGAGCATTTCTTGGACTTGGAATGTGAAGATGAGTTGTAGGAAATGTCATCCCCTTCAAAATGAGCTTTGGATGGGATTTTTCTGATGAACCATGAAAAATTTATGCCTTGGTCAAGTTACAGTTGACTTTTCAGCTGTCCAAAAATAGAAACTTTTGCATCTTGATGATTTTTGAGCCATTCTTGTGAAATCATGGTCAAGACTTGACCAAATGATGATTGTGGCTTCAAAATGAGATGTTGACCAAAAAATTTGACTTTTGACTGCCAAATGACCATTTTGCCCCTACAGTTGTCTGTTTGAGCAATTAGGGTTTTTGACTGTGCAACTTGACCTTGTGAGCCTTGAAACTTGACATGTAGGTGCTTGACAATGTGTATGAGCATATGGGACTTGATTGAGCCCTTGAAAACTTCAATTTCCCTGTAAGAACCAAAACCCTAGTTTGACTGGCTTAGGAGGGTGGTTTGACTGTGTAGCCCTTGAGTAGACTTTGAACCCCTTGAGGCAAAACTTTGAAGATTATGGGAGGACAAATTTTGGGGTAAAACACATTTCATTCAATATAGCTCTGAGGTTCAAAGTTCAGTGGTTGTGCGATACTAGGGTTTCACAGTGGTTAAGACGCTCGTATCCAATAAAGGATGATTTCTTATTCATGCAACAAGCTTTGGAATTAGGTTTTTTTTAGGCTCATTTCTGGACTTCTTCTCCACCAAGTTACTGGGCTAATATCTTTTGATGAACAACTGGTTGTAGGTCATCCTGGTCAAGAACTCTAGGATGTGACCTAGCATATGTGGACTTTGAAGCATGGCATCCTTTCCTATAAGTATGCTTGTCATTTGATTAGGATTAATGACTGTGACATGACATTCATCTACTCATCAGTTAATCAATTTAGGTTTTGTTGAATCATGGTTCAAAGATGTTTTATCTGGATATTTCTCTGTGCATCTAAACGGGGAATCAAGATCGTGAGGTGTGGTTAACATGATTTCTTTCTCTTCAAGATATAATTGCTTTTATCCAGTCTTGGCAAGTGCTGGGGTTTTCATTTGTGCAACTAGGTTTCACGTCAGGGGAATTATTCTGTGATTCAGACTTTATCATCCCTCTGTAAGATGTTCCTTATGACGCTAATTTCAAGTTGAAATAACCGATCTCTAAGGGCTGGGGATTGAATTGTGAAGCGTGGTTCGTGACTTAAGATATGAATTCATAGATTTCTCCTTAACCAAGGCAATCATTATCCTCATCATTGTCATTTGTTATCTGTGATGCGAGTAGGTTGGGATTGAAGTGGGTTTCTCAGGAAAGAATTCATGCAAGGTAATTAAAGGTTCAAGGCATTCAAGGCAGGGTTTTGTTCAACATGGCATACCTGGTTGATGGGCTTACAAGCTCTTATGAGACCTTGAGATGCATAATCATGGGCCAAGTTCAAAGATACGAGGATAAGATCTGTTGACTTCGGTTAAAGTAAGCTTTGAACAATTAACTTTGGGGCCAAGGTCTCCTTGAAATTTTCATCTAATATGTGTTGGGAATTCGAGTTGCATTTGAAGAATAGTATGGTAAAGGAAAAGAAATATTAGTTCAGAAAAGGAAGATTTCATTAAAAATCATGGTTTTTATTCATTGATAAACGTTCAAGTAATTGAAGATCAGGGGAACTAAGATCATGTTAATCTCGATCATGTTCTTTCATTATCATTTGTGTACATCTTTGATGATTAAAGGTCGTCAATTAGAGAAGGGCCTCGTCGAGATAAGAAACTTGTGGATTAAAGGTCGTCAAGGTTGTGAATTTTTAGGATCAAGATCTTATTGGCTATTCGAATTATTTGTCATTCAAGTTGATTTGGGTTCAAGATTGAAGTTAGGAGTTCATTGAGAATGCAAGTGTGATTTGGATTTGAAGTTTGATTTGAGTTCAAGATGTTCGAAAGTGTTTGATTGGATTAAAGTTGGCAAAGAGCCTTAAGTATTGGTCATATGAGTTTCTTGGAAGGTAAAGTACAGACTGCGAGGTCTCGTTTCAAGTCGGAGTTCATACGCATTACAAAGACGTTCATCGTTATTCCAGATTCAAGTTGACATGTGTTCAAAGTTTATTCGAACCCTTTCATTCATGATTCAAGAAAATACTATCCAATTCCATTCAATTTCATTCAAGTGTAACAATACCTTACAAGAAAATTTGATGCTTTCATATCTTCAAGCATTTTTTCAAGACTTTGTCATTTAAACTCCGTCCAAAAAAATTCATCACCCAACATTTCAAGCTCAACGGTCATTTACAAATCACACTATAAATTTCAAGTTCATCCAAACCAAACATTCATTATAAAATCATTACAATCCCATTACACCAATATTCTACAAAGAAAAAAAACGGTTACAAAATACACTTGAACAAAATTCTTTAGTCCTAAAGGTGCTAAAATTCCCTGAGTAAACTTCTAATTCCATGCCATGTCAAAGTTCTTCATCTTCAGTTCATGACCTGCACATTCATACAAAAAAATCCAAGTCAATACAAGCAATCATGCCAAAATATCCTATGCTCATACAAATTACTCGACGCATGAAAAACCATTAATTAACCTAAACCAAATGCTAAACACATATATGGAACAACCTGCATACCTTAACTTTGGCAGAGAATAGGTCCACATCATTCAAACTAACTGCAATTGAAAGGAAAATCAAATTCAGCTTCGGAACAATGTCCAACAATAACCATAATCACATATGTCCAATCGCAGCTACTTTTATTCATGCTATTGTTGCTAAATCTATGTCAAGAAACTTCAGGGCTAATACAGTTTGAAGCCTCGTTAAAATGGAAACAAAATCTCCCTCTGGAATTACAGAACAAGTGGTGTGTGGGACTAGTGGATGGGGTGCAGTTAGTTTCTCATTTCCTTCAAAAAATGGTGCACACACTTTCTCTAATGGCTTCTCACATCTACCCTTCACCCCTTGCCTTCCCCACAACACATGTCAAGGAGTGTCAAACTTTTGCACCTTCTTCTTTAGCAAAACCAGATATGCTCAATTGTCAGTATCCTTTTCTTAACTCAAGTCCATTTGGAGAGCCCGTTAAAACCCGAAAAAATTGGTTTGATGAAACTCAGTTCGTCAATGTTGATTCCTCGCCCCAATGGCATGTATCAATTGATGCACAAGAATCCTATTCAAATGCAGTACTTTTAGGCTTTGGCATTGTTGAGCAATGTACTAAGCATGATACAGTTTCAAATCTCCTAAAATCAGGAACTGCTGAGTCACGGGTAGATGGTGCAAATATATCCTTGTTATTAGACTTGATGAAATTGTAGTTGTCAGCCATTAATGAACCTCACCAACCATTCTCATCTGACTCGTCGTCTCTTTTATACCTTAATGACAAATTCAACATCAAGAAACCTTTTCTATATTTTCTTCAAGATTCCGCACTTACTTCAAAGGTTACGGTTCATCTTGATGGCCAAATCAAATTTATGGGTGCTGAAATTCAGATGAAAGATCTTCTTCCTGTAGTTGCTGAGTCATATTTGTCAAAGAGATTACATAAGGGTGAAAGGCTCTCAGTGCTTGTTCCACACTTCAGCAGGGTGAATATCAGCGAAGCAGAAGTACAGAGTCATTCATCTACAATGAAGATCAAAGCTACCTTAACTGCTCCTTTAAGGAGTCCTGAGAAAGTCAAACTCAAACCATCAAAAAAAAGATCATAACAAACTTAGTTCCAACTTATGTCCTAACAGTTTTATAAATTCCATAACAAATTTCTAACCAAAATTTCTAACAGAATGCAAAATTTTCTAACTAACTCTAAACAGTTACTAACTCCTAACCAATTCTATAACTAACTCTAGATAACCAACTAACAATAACTAACTGCTT